CAAGAGAAGCACGCTGGAGCGATCAGATGGAGGAAGTCCGTCTGCGGCCCATTGCAAGCATTTGATAGTGGACTTTCACAGGTACCTTTTAACTTCGGATCTTTGGCCGGACAAGACAGGTTGGCTACAGGTGCGCAACACTTGCCAGATGTGCCCTTTTGATCGTGCCCATAAAACCTGCCCGGCATGCATGAGTATCCCGCAGCAACTTCTGCGTGTGACCGGGACCAAAGTTGTACAGATGGAAAACCTAGCCAATGGTGGAGCATGTACACCAATAAAAATGGAGAACCACTAATGGCAAGCCAAAAGTAAATCCAGCTCAAAGAATCTCCTATTTCAAAAGACACACCCAGTGCAAAACTAACCAATCAGGAGAGACCAACCCTGCAACACTATCCGGGTTTTCTCATTGGGATGCAGAATATACACTCCTCAGTTCTCAATAGAAAACCAGAGAGAGAGAAAAGGTGCAGAGTGCAGGCACAGCATTTGAACTAAACCCCAGCCAACTTGACTACAGTGAAAATCAGACGTAAGATGTGCGTACATAAAGGGCCAACATTTCTGAAAATTTTGCATCTTGGCCTCTGCCTTGTGCTTGTGCTTTTACAGTTGTTGCAAATGAGAAAGCAAGGCCAGTAAAACATCCAAGGGGTTTTCTAGACAAATAGTTCATTATACGATCAGTCTATTCTTGGCTTGTTTCATTTGACACTGTTGGAATAGAGGCTGCATGACTAAACAATTCCCCCCAAAAAAACTAGTGGCAAGAGACTTTCTAGCAGAAGGCTATGCTGACCCCCTTCTCCCTTCATCTAGGAGGAGGAGGAGAAGAAGGAAGAAGAATTGGGTTTATACCCCACCCTTCACTCAGAGTCTCCTTCCTCTCCCCACAACAGGCACCCTGTGAGGTAAGTGGGACTGAGAGAGCTCTCAGTTTCCTAAACAATGGTGGCAATTTCCAGCTTCAGGTCCAGAAATTATTTTCTGTTGTGAAGGCTGAACTGTTATTAATGCTCTGATTTTAGAAATTAGTATCTGCAGAAGAGAAAAGACCCGCGAAACTCGCGGGGGGCGGGGGAGGAACTCAGCAGGCAGAGGAGGAAGAAGCAGGTAAGCTTCCCCCTCCCGTTGGTTCTCCCCCCCCCTCCCCCCCCC